TGCATTAGGTACAATCCATTAGAATTCACATAAGAAAACTTTCTACCAATTTTAAAATATTTAGAGCCGGTTTTGGATCGATTAGGAAAAATTTTGCAGCAGAGAGTAGCCATGTACAGGCTACACGCTGAGATTTTCATACATTACAGAACCTGATATTTATAGAAAGAATATGAAACTATTGTTGGGTTAAAAAGCAGCAACGTATATGATGGTTTACAGAGCACTTGTCCGGTTAAAGCAAAACAACAGAAAATTTTAGCATTTAACAGTTTACAGTTGATACAACAGGCAATAAGAAGTCCCGTTTAAAGGAATATAAAAGAAAATGAGTTATGGTAATGGGTGAATCACTACAGCTCTTGTACAAAGTACTTGAAATAGCAATTTGATGGATTAGGAATCGTTTGACATCCATAAATCTAAAAAAAAAAGAATTAAAGACTTCCACAACCCACCAATTCATAAACTTTCTAGTATGAATGCTTCTGCTGAATCTCATAAAAATGAAATAAAGAGTTCCAGATTTGCATCGCAACTACCTCCACATGGATATTGTTCTCTTTGGCGAGGAAGATGAGCTATGATTTGCAGTTCAAAAGCTAAAAAAAAAAGATCCGAACTAGGAGGAAGCCGTACAAGAAGAAATGTCAGAGAAGAGGAAGAAGATGGAGGAAATGTCAGAGAAGCACGCGGCCCGTGGGGAAGAAGAAATGTCAGAGAATAGAAAAAACTGTTCGGCAAGGTTGGAGAAATATTGCATTAATCCTGCTCAAAACCTTCTGCAAAACAGCCTCTTAAAAATGAAAAAAATATTCGGTCAAAAGTCCTAATATTGTTGTAAAGCACGCAACAAGCATCCCCTAGAGAAAACATGGGTAAGAAAATTGGAAGCCGGAGGGGTCAGAGTAACCTTATATCCATCACCAAGCAGATTTACCCGCTCTCGCGATCTCTGAAGCACCCTCGGAAGCATTCCTAAAGCGGATTATAATCTCCTTCCGTGATGGATTTCATCGTCACTGCGCAATTAGAGGAGCGCTCGTTGGAAGGATTAGGTCAAAGTAATCAACGGCCATGAAGAAGCCTGGCATTAGACCATCCTCCATATGCCTCATACTTGAGGGCATCGGAGCAACGGCCATGTAAATGCCCATGATTTTCCTGTCGCGTGCGAAGAAGATGGAGGAGCGGATAGGGCATAGGACGAACAGGGGCACGGGAGACGCTGAGGGCACCGTAGTAATATTTTGAGAATGAAACGCGGACCGCAGGGTCATCCCCACGGGCCGCGTGCTTCACAAATACAAAACGGCGATTTTGGATAAGCTATGAAAACACGTGAAACAAACAACGAGGCGGCGTTTTCAAAGCGCCGCCTGCACTTATAAGCTGCCCCAAACGGACCCTAAGATGCATCACAAAAATTTCTCACAATCAATTTGGATTTATGTCGTGCAGGTCTACCATGGAAGCTATAAATTTATTGAGAGTTTTGATGAAGAAGTTCAGAGATAATAAGGAGAATCTACATTTGATTTTTATTGATTTAGAAAAAGCTTACGATAAGGTTCCAAGAGATATCCTTTGGAGAGTTCTCGAGAAGAAAGGTGTTGATATGACTTATACTCAAGTCATTAAAGATATGTATACTAGAGCTGTTACTTGTGTTCAAACTGAAGGAGGATTGA